TCAAATAAGCCATATAATAATTCAATTATGTTTAAATAACACAGAAGTCAGGAAAATGGAAATACATTGTTGCGTGATAGTCATGTCTGACATCAGCAATTCGAGCAATGCAGTCACGGAGGGATATTGAAAACGTCGGATGGATAATTGACGAAAAATTGGACAGAGCGCCTGAAAATGAACACGACATAATTCCGAGTTGTGCTTTTTGAAATTCCATTGAACTGATGGTTCCAAAAATAGATTTTAAAAGTTTTTTTTCTATAAAATCGAGCTTCTGTGGTCGTGGCCCGATTTAATTTGCTCGGTAATAATTAAAATCTTGTTCCCGACAAAAAATCCTATTCGTCAGAGAGGTTTAATTAAAAAAGTGGGAATGGTCGAACGGATGACTGAAAGCCCAGCGCACTAATTTTCTCGCGATGGTTTATACACTGGCTTTGCTACGCGCAATTTACCTGTCAAACAAAGTTATTAAGATATCTCTGTCAGGTGTTTTGTTCGGTGTGCGGCTTGGATACTTTTTCATTTCAGGCCGAATGGAGGTGGGGATCGTGCAAGGAAAGGTTGGCTCACATCGTAAATAAAATCGGGGGAAATTATTGTAATTGACCGCGCTGGGAGCTCGTTTCAAAATAAACGAATTTATCGAACAACTTACGACTGTGATGCCAATGGTAATGCCGACCGGTTGGACTTTTTTGATATTTATTAAATATCTCACGGCTACCCGGCGACGGGAGTCGTAAAGTAATATCAAAAAATTGCACCAGGATTAAGTTGTCAAGGAAGAGGACCCCAGTGATGTATTGACTTTATAATAGCATCCTCAAAGAGAAATCTCGAAGCAGAAAAACCACAATCAGAAACTAATTTCTCAAGTGTTTTTATAGTTATTTATTATACAAGACGATAAAGAAATTGTTTATTTAGAAAAGACTACTTTATCTACTGAAATTAGTTGATAAAAGCACTCTTTAACATTGAGTAGGTACAAAATAAAAATAATAGTTTGCATTGCAATTTGAGAAATGCGCGAATGCAAGATTTTTGTATACAATTGTCTTGATTGACTTGTCTTAGTTTAAACTGTCTTGATTGACTGTAAAATTTTAAATTTTTAAGTGCATGTTAAAAATGTAGCCATTTTACTACCTTGTTTAGATAATTTGATATAAATTATGTCTTTTTGTACGACTTCTGATGGTTTTATGAAAACTAAGGAAACATTTTTAACATGATTTTTCATCTGCGTTGTGTTCTAGATAAATATTTATTTTTGAAATTATAGATAAAAACAAAATGTTAAGTGTGTCGTACCTATCTATAAAATAAAATAAAAAGTAATGTGTCTTAAAGAAGATCAAAAAACAGTGAAATTATATAAGTCCATTGTTTTTTATTTGCTAACAGCCTGCTTGGGAAAAGTTGCTAAATCCAATATTTAGTTATTTACAAAAAATATAAAATTTTGTTCATGTCGTTCAGGTGGCTTTAAGGTGTTTTACCGACTAAAAAATATTTTTTAATACTTTTTTTTCGGCTTATTTAAAAAGACTATTTTCACGTCTAAAAAGTATCTATACTGTTTTGTAGGTGCCCTAAATAATAATACTGTTTTAATTTTTGCTTATTTTATTATGTCGATATGTTAAGGGCAACAAATACAGGATGATTTTTTTAGAGCCTACATTAGAAACTTTTCAACTTTCAATGTCTTTGAAATTTTGTATGTAACCAAAATCTCAATTCAACTAAATTATTTCAAAAATGGCTGAACTTCCGGAACTATGAGAAATTGGCGCTAACTTTGAAATTGTCAATGAAAACCCAGTATTTTTATTGTATTTTTGATTTTGTTTTTCAAACTGAGTAAAACGTACCCAAGTTATTGGTACTTATCTGCCATAGTTTTTGACATATGTCATTTTTTTTTCGAAATTTTTATTTGCATGAGTCTATTTAAAAAATCATAGCTCTTAAACCCTTTGAAACAAACAAATTTTTTGCTTTGGATAATTGAATGTTTGAAGAATTAGCTCAAGATTGTCAACTCCCAAATTTCAAGGCTAGGTAATGTGATTTTTTAAAAACGGATATAAAAAACAGCTATAACTCAGTATGACTCACTCCATTTTCTTAACGGCAATCGAAAGAACATCAATTTTTATATAAACTTTTATTAACATGTCCTATACCTATCTTCTTCAGTTTTTGAAATAATCACGAAAAATGGGTTTTAACTTTTTATTTTCATCGTTAATCAAGTAGGTAGACTTTGGATTTTTTTTTTTAATTTTTTGGAGCGACTAGGGCACCTGAAAGAGATGTTTAAAAAAATCTGAAAATTCTCACCTGACCATTTCGCAACGTTTAGATCATTAAAAAAAATAAAATTTGTTTCACCGTAATGAGTAGGTACTTTTTTATTATTTTTAGGTATAATATTTAAAAACAAACTCAAAAATTATTATTGGAAGTTTATTAAAATATATTTCGAGAATAGTTACAAACAAATCAAAACATATTGTCTGATTTTATAAAACAAATAGCTGTTGTTAAATGTTTATCTTAGCGGATTTTCTTGCTTTTATAGAAATCGTAGTAAGGAATCTAAATCAATAGCTTGGTATTTTACATTGTTTCGCTGTTGTGGTCACAGATTTGTGTCCACGTAATCGCCGCATTATTTTGTCGTTACAAACCAATCACGCGTCTAAATCAAAAAATAATAGAAAAATTGAAAAGTGCATTCGCGTGAACGTACGCTCGATTTTCACTATCAGATTTCGACCAGTTCCGATTGTGGAGCTAATGACTCAATTGCGGGCGTCATTTTCATTCATTTTCGCCCCTTACGGGGGTCATTGTTTAGTGTTGACGGCGCCCTGAGCAGAATCTATAAGCTTACTGACCCGTTCTGGCACGCAATCCTTCGCATTTCCGCCTTAAATCATGTAACTTGAGGTACTACGGGGCGTTGGTAGCATATTCGCCGGTTGATATTTCATAACCGCGAGGTGGTATGGACAGGTGACGTTTCGGTGGGAATGCAGACGCGAATTAGCATATCGTATATTGATTTTATTTATAATTATGTGCTTGTGAAAAGGATAATAATGCCCTGTGCATCGACCAAGTCGAATCTGATCTCTGAAGGCTTCAATTTTTTGTCTTATCTTCCTTGCATGAGGAAAAACGAATTAAAATTTCCAATAAATTAATGGCAAGTTTGCTGTGTCTTTTTAAGTGGTCATGAATCAATTAAATTGTTTTCGAGTAATTAATGCATTTTTTCATGTTTTGCTATGAATACGAATGACTGCATGCCTATTTGCAATACAAACATTTATGAATCATTTTGCAATCAGTTGTAATTTTAGCCAAAAAGGGCTGTGAAAATTGATTAATTTTTGCAGGTGTGGCTCTAAAACCTGCCATTTTTGTGAGGCATATGGGCCTTAATTCGGCGTGACGAACCAATCAGTAAGTAATTTTTTTTACTAGATTTTTTCGGTGAGACTTTAATTAATTCCAAGTGAATTTAAATTCGAAGCTTCTTGCGGTGTTTGCTTTGTCCCGCTTGTGCAACGTAAGATGCGATAATTAAGTTATGTTGGTAATCAAGTCGCTATTGCCTACTGGGCTTATCTCATTAACTCGCCTATATTTCAATCAACGTTCCAATTTATCACGGAAAAAAAAACTATTAAATTTACCTTTTGTCAAGCGTCGGGTTTTTGTTTCAGACAAATTAAATTTCACCTGACGAAGAAATCCATTACTTTCGATAATAATAATTTCACGATGGGATTATCAATTTAACAGCCGGTAATAAACTCATTTTGTTTATGGACGAGTCGCCCGACTTTTATTGAGTAATTATTTTTAATATGGCGTGTCTGACACCTAGTTTGCCGGAATTGAAAAAAAGTCAATTGCCTATAAAAACCGGCTACCGAAACCGAAATTTTCGAACAGAATAAATCAAAATGCTGCTTTTATCACCCAATTCATTAGTGTTATGACCTCGACTACAAACCTGTAGCATGATAGAAGTCAATTTTCGGTAAAAAAATCAGGGAAATTGTATCAGTGGCCAGTCAGGCGATGTTAAATGTCGAATGTTATTATTTTGAGCGTGTTTGTCCAAAATTTTTTGATAATTACACGTTACAAGACTAGGAAATTGTAGCTTTGGCTTTTAAACTTGTAATAGTAGATGTGATGACATGTATTTATTATTTCAATTTTTACGCAATCTCTTGTTAGTCAAATACCAACTAAATACGTACACTGTTATTAGAAATAATCGAATTTTGTAATTATTTTAAATTAGTCCATCTGTCCATCTGTCACGTGATAACAACATTAAACAATTTTAAGGCTTCAGGTAATTACGAAAACAATAACTTACTAAGCACGTTATGAGTACCTAACCATAAACCATAATTTAAAAAATCCACAAATTATGCAGTAAAATTATTGAATAAAATCTTCAAGAAAGAACAATTTTATCGATGAAATAAATTTGTTTACAGCGATGTGCACGGTTGGAAAAGCTTTAATTATTCATTTTCTTAAGTCTTCTCCAATTATAGACTGCTTTTAATTGCGTGCAAGTTAAATAATAATGCCATAATTTTATGTCTTGTTTTCATGTTATAATTATTTTATTTTCATCATCCATAAAATAATAATGGTAAAGTTTGCGTTTACTTTCAATGTTGTTATTAAGTGACGATTATGCTTGCTTGCATAATAAATTTTGTTAATTATTTCACGGAATCTCAACATTTATGTTTTAATAAACAAATTTTTTATCTAGTAGTAGGTAGGATGTAGTAATTAGTGGTAATACATGAAAATGGTCTTTTAATTATTATTGTTATTATTATTATGCTGTAGATCTAATTGGAATGTATTCATTAATTTTTTATCATGAAACATTAAAATTTGAACTGAAAATTAACTTTAGGAAGAAATCAAACTCAAGTAACTCGAATAAATAATATATTTATCATCATACTTAATTAATTTGATATATTAGTACTGCAGATCACTGATAGGAATACATTCAAAGCTTGATAACAATATTATTCACTTCTATGAAGATGATATTCGTTGTTGTTTTTTCATATTGTCCGATTAAATAATTAACAGTGAATAATTGGTAATATTGTAATCAAGCTTGTGGTACATGAACTTAACTAAAATAGGACGACATGCACGAAGAGTTTTAAGTCTATTCTAAACAATTTGAACTTGCTGGATGTATTGCTGTACTATGTGTTGTTTATTACTAATAATATTAATAAATACAGTACTGGAATGTTTGGGACGTTTATACACAGGGTTGTTTAAACTATATTTACACTTTATATTCAATAAATATGGAAAGATTCCGGCATTTCCGGTAGTATGAATCAAGTTTTTGATATGTGTGTCGAAAAATCGGTCGGAAATGTCGAAATTTCTGGGCATTTCGTTGAGAGGAAAATGTTTCTCGCTGTAGGTCTGTTGTCGCACCCTATCACTAAATATAAAACATTATTGCACAACATGTTTCGTCTCCGAGCATCTTCAAGTATTGAGTAGCGACTCTATACTGAAGGGGTTAAGTCTCCGGCTTTTGTCATCGTGCGAGGCGGCGGTTAAATCCACCCCCGACTCCGAGGAGTACATCCCCTGATCGCTACAAGCGTACGTTTCCGATTCTGCGCCCGAGTCCCCTACCACGTCTATATCGCTATCACTGTCGGCGCCGTCCGCACCTCTCTGGGCCAGATACTCCCTCTTGAGGGCTACGAGGTCGACGGCGATGCCTTTGGCGCGCAGCTTCTTCGCCTGCCGCTCCAGAGCTTTCTGGAGCTTTTTCCGGCGACGCGCCCTTTCGCGTGCCCGCAGCTCGGCGGGAGGAATCGGCTCCCCGGAGCACGATTGGGGGTGAGCGTTGTGAGCGGGTCGTCCGGGGCCTTTTTTTGTGTGCTCCTTCTTGCGCCACTTGGCTCGCCGGTTCTGGAACCACACCTGGAAGAAGACGGCGATTAATTTGTTGGGGATTTTAAAGACCATAAAATAAAATATCGGGTTTATGATAGGTAAGGTTGGAAGTTGACTTGATGAGTTGTAAAATTTGAAAAATTCGATTAGTTGATGGGCCGGGCTTAGCATTCTACGCTAAATGAGCCAAAAAATACTTTGCTGTCCCATGAAATGAAGCGTTTGGAATTAGAGTGGCCTAACCAACAAAATTTATAAACTTAGTTTTAGGTACTCTCAGACTCAGACCTGATTATAATCAGCAAAACACTGGTCTAAGGTTTAAAACAAAAAATCTTAACAGTAAAGTGACTAGACTTAAAACAAAATAAAATTATAAAAGTGAAAATTTTAACTTTTATTAGGATTAGGATTTCACTTAAAGTGGTCACTGTAATTCTCAACGCCTCAAATAGACCTGCATATAACATTTATTACACAAAGGTTTTTGCATACAAAATATTTAAAAGAAAACGGCATGCAAACAAAAAATTATTTAGAAAAAAAAAAAGTTGATTGAGTTCTTTTAACGTAAATTAGTCTTATTTTGAAAAATGTGAAATTAATACAAAAAATCATAAAATCAAGGTCTAAATGTGTTATTTCAGCATGTTTTCTTGCCTTTTATTTTGTGATTGCTGATTATTATTTATTATTATTATTCGTTAAGATCAGGCTAGTTACTATTATCATTTTCAAGTAGTTTACGACCAAAATTTGGTAAGTCTGAACAATTTTCAACATTCCGGGTACTGGAAGCGCTTTAACATTTACACTTTTTTATGTAAAAATTATAGTTCAGATATCTATGCCTATGAGTGTCACTTTTTCATTTTTTTTAACACGGTTTCATTTGTAAAGTTAAAAATATTTATAGATTAATAAAATAAATTTCTCCAAAACTTAAATAAACGAATAATTATGTAAACAATTTTTTAAAAAGCTTTTGTCAAGGATTTTTTGTTTTATTTTCACTTAATAACGTCCGATAAACACCACTGCTATTATAAAATTATCATAGTTTTATTATTATCTTCTCTACAATTATTAGACCCATCCCATCCCATTTCTTTATGAACCTATTTTTATCAGGTCATTTATGTGTTTAGTTTCTGGCAATAGCATTATAAAGATTTGGTGATAAGCTCAATTAGTTTCTTTTTGGCACGAATGTAGCAGATGATTAAATCTGTTGATTTATAAACTGCTCTTGTAAGATGTTTATCTAAAAATAACTGTTTGCAATAAATCGGCTTTCTATTTAAATAATAATTATTTTATCATTATCACTTTCACATTTTCAATACGTCTAGCCTAAAAACATCAAAATATGACTTAAAATACAGTTAAAACTCGATAAAGGAAGATAAATTATTACGATAATGTCGTACCAAGAGTTTGATAAATCAAAAAATACTGTACGTGTATCAAATTAATGTCCATTTCACGACGTTCAAGATTTACACCTTACCGGGAGATAATTATCTTAATTAGCGTTAACCGATCAGAAGAGTGGAAGTTGGTTTTTAATTCTGGTTCAGCACAGATTGTCCGATATTAAGCCTTCCGCGGTCTTCAATTAAATCAGAGAGAATTGACATTTGTAAATGTAATCAGAGTTTGCTATCATCGCATGTCTGGATTATTATTCAAATAAGTTTTTGATTTGTCCGAGGTTACAAAATAATGTTTCCCACATAAGAGAAATGACTACGATCTGTAATTTTTGAAATAGACTGATTTATTGGCGTTATTCTGCCAAAGCTAAACCAAAACACGGCATTCCTCATGTCGTTGATTTGAATTATTGACAGCTTCATGAATTTTAAACAAACCGCTGATGTGAAATTGTTTTCTAAGGTGTCATTGCAAGCAAAATGTAAAATTTACAACCAACGAATTTCCATTTTTCGTTTACTGTTGGCACAACAAATTTTGCACTGTAGCGGTGAAAACGAGGTAACAAAAGTTGCGGATGCACCTAATTGCATATGCATATGATACTAACCTAATTGGAGTCACGCTAGCGTGAGGCGACTACAGACACCGCGATAAACTTTTATTAATAGCAAGTAAACAGATAAAGTGGTTGGTATAATCGAGTCGATTAATAATTTTTCGCGGAAGATACAAATTAGTACTGGATAATGATTTAATAAGTATATTAGAAGAAAATTGTTGGTGGCACGTTATGCAAATGTCGATTACAGGTGCAAGACGTGTTGAGGATTGATAATCGGGCAACGGCGGCAAAATCAAGTTGGTAACAAGTGAGTGAATTTATTCGTCCAATAAAGTAATCATCGCTTTTAATGCAGCGCATATGAAGTCATCAACCTTAGCACAATCAATTTATATGTATATCATGCAATTATAATAAACTACTACCGTGATACTAGAGATGATAGCGCCAAAATGAGCCCTAGGGCGCCGTGTAAACGGTCTATACGCTGCACCAGGCTAGCCACTACACGCCAGTAAGACATACAGCCAACATCACGCCCCCAAATTACCATGTTAATTATAGTGGTGTGCCTTTGGGGTGCTAGCTAGCGTGACGCAGAGCAATATTGGCCAAACTGAGGCTAATTTTCATTAATTCGTGCGGCCGCGTCGCGTTTTCTCTTTTATTTTATCGCGCTACATGCTAATGGGCCAGATAAAGACCCGCGGCACTCACGTGGGGAACAAAACAGAGACGAGCTTTGTTGGCTAAACTGGCAGCTGTAGCGTTTGTTCGTGAGAGATATTTGAGCCTTCACCGACAGGGTTTAACTTTAACCGTGATTTACGGCCAAAGTACCAACAATTAATTCTTTGCGCTTTATCTGATCGCGAGCTGAAATATTAATTGGCCTTATCTTGATAACAATTAGCACGTTTAGCTCGGCTGCCATTACCAACAACTTCTTATCGACAATGTTTCCAACTTTTAAACTAGATAACCACCGGCTCTAGTTCCAACACCCCCTGCAAGTCTGACGCTATTTTTGAATCAATACAACCGCCATTCTTTCACATACTTTCATACTCTTTAAATAATCTCACTATTCTTACAACAAAAATATTAATTTTTGTTTAAACAAACAAAAATAAAGTAAGCAATAAAAAAATTATAAAAGCTTTCCAAACTTGAATTGTTATCAACGTGAGCTTTGTCAGAGCATTTCTAGAAAGGTAATTGAATTTAGTCCTTTGCTAAATTAATTAGTCCATTATGCGGGTCGCAAATAGAAACCGGCATAAAATTGAGACAGTCATCGACGGAGATAAATGCAAAGAGGTAAAGTTTTCCGATAAACGTAGTGAACTTTGCTGAAACCGGAATTTTCCGGCAGTTTTAGATCGCTATCGCATCCCCGGATTGAATTTTGTGGCCATATTATTAGAAACCGCCACCGCTTCGCTTGAAATTAATTTAGATAAAGTCATTAAAATTGATAAACTGTATTACATATTCGTAAATTTGTACCCACGATTAAACTTCTCTCTAATCTAATAGGAAAATAATTACGGAGTTCGAGGCGGCAGTGTGTTACAAAAACCATGTTAATAAGAGCTCTTGTAATATTAAAGTGAGTTACAAACAAGAATAATGGAGAAATAATAACTCATTTAAAATCCATTCTATCGAAACTTGCACACGGAAACTCGTGATAAAAATGCAAATAACAACGATGATTTTTTTCGATTTGTTGGTTATTCTATTTTTCACAGATTTGCGATAAAAGCAAATTTTATTAAAGCGACCGGTTTTTATGACCGCCATAAGCTCGCCGGAAATTTTCATGCTGCAGAACATATTGCTAAAGTTGCCGCCCCGTAATATCAAATTGCTTTTTATTTTGACAAAATATGCACCGCTAAACCAAATTCACAACAATTTGCAAATTACACTATTTACACGATTTTTATACGTTAGCTGAAAATTAAAATTTCTTATAGATTCTAAGCACTGAGTTAAAAAAAATATTTAAAAAAGCCTACCACGTCACGTTTAAGAATATGTGGGTAATTAACAAAAATTCAAAAATCGTTTAACAACAAATTAAATATGAGTTTTATACTTTTTTGGATCAACTTCTTTTATGACAGTAATCTCCTAACATATTTTCATCTCAAAAACCTTTGTGTCGATCTTCGAAAACCCTTCAGATCTTGATGAAAACGCTTACCCTGTTCGTCACTCATGCTGCCCAAGTTTTTTGAAACGATTGAGACAATGAAATGTATTTTAAGACCCATTTATTTATCTGGTGATAATTTTGCAATAATTCAGCAACAATTTGAATTTTAAATCGGAGTTACTTGTGCAGAAAACATCAGGAAAATTATGACGTAATAAAAAAATAACAATTATTTTTGCAAAAAATTAATAATTTGATTAAAGGCATATTAAACAAGTTATTATTTGTAAACTGATGTTATTATTTAACTACAGAATCCTCTATTTTTTTTCTAAAGAGAACGGAACATCTCCGACTATTAAAAAACTCAGATTATCGAAATGATTTATGAAATCAATAAAATCTTAAACTAAAGTTGTATTAAAAGATTTTTAAGTAACTACAGCATGCATAATGTAACACATGTACCTATGTACATACCTACTATAAAACACACACATTTTTAAACTTATTTTCTGTTTTATTTTGATTTGGTCTGTACCACTTTTTTTCCAAAAAAAATTAAAAAGATTATCGCACCTCGAATTTTTTATTGTGAATGAAAACTGCAATGCTTGATTTTTGAAACATGTTTTAGAACATTAAAACCCACATTAAGTTATAGCTTATATGGTTTTAAATAATCATAATCATAAATCACATTTTGTATAAGCGAATTTAATAGAGTTCCTATAACAATAAATAGGTGCCTTTGGCAAAAACGTGTATTAGCTTAGACTCAAGATGCTTTTATTTCTAATGTGCTTGTAAATTGTCTACTTAACGGCAATAAAACGATGCAAAGCTGGTTCTGTCATAATTTTTTATTAAACAAATTTAAAAAATAAGACCGGCGACTGGTGGAACAAATAATAAAGAAATCATTTTGATGAACTTTGGATTTTTTTCCGAGAGGTAATTTGTCTTCCAGTTTCATCTAATCGAATTTTCAGATCAATGCAAATAAAACCGTAATAAGAAAATCACTTTGAAATGCCGCCACCATTTCCCAAACCAATCTCTGTATCGTTTCACGTCCCCCCAGACACTTTCCTTCAGACAAAACCAAACAGGATGTAAACAGCACATGTTTCTGAAAATATCGAGTCCAGAGAGCCAATCGCGTACGATCTGAGGTCAGCAAGGTTGAAAGAGGGTGAAGAAGAGGCTTCCTCCCGAGAGATCGATCGTGAACCCGCAAGATTACACTCTGATACACACTAAACTCGCTATATTGACCGCCGTTCCGGCCACCATAAGCTCACCGATATGTCTATTGTTTTTAAATTGATGGCCGCGCAGATTTAGCCCCAACAGCCTCGTATTATTCAAATCGTTCACCAAGTGTCGGCCGGGGATTTAACGCAATCAAACTCGGAATAACACGAAATGCGGTCTTCTACAGCACGCATGGAAATTTTAATTTTTCTCGTCTCTTTTTGTAAATAATACTTACAGCCACCCTGCTTTCCTTTAAATCTAGTCGCATAGCAAGCGCCTCCCTCATGAAAACGTCGGGATAATGGCTTGCTAAAAAGGCTCTTTCTAATTCTTCTAATTGCCAACTATTAAAATTCGTCCTACTCCTTCTCCTTTTCGAAGCTGCACTTTCAGAATCGGCGCCTTCCCCACTGCTCCCAGCGCCACCTACAACCACAAAAACCCCAAATCAATACAAATAAATTTCAATAAAAAGCCCGCAATGAAATTATGTCGGATTTGCGAAATTACGATCGGCTGGAATAAAACGAGCGATCAATGTTTACGTTCGTATCCAGCATTTATAATTTGTTGTTGTCGAATTGAATCGGTTTCAATTGTCGGTTGATTTATACGATTCGGTGTGTAACTCGGCGTTTCATTGGTCGACGGATATGCAGTAATGCCAACTGCACGGACAAATCACCGTGTTTAGTTGCTAATGCCGGCCTTTATCAATTTGTAACGATTACAGTTAGCACCGTATCATTAACGCTACTAATAGTTTGTTTAGTTTGATCGTTTTTATTGCAACGATTCGATTTGCTCGGTTTTTAATTACAAACGAGGAAAAAAGAGGCTACTATAAAGTGAATAAGAATTGAAAAGTTAAAGTGCAAATGACCGGAAAAAACTAACTTATTCAATTTGTCCAAGTTTTTAAATTCTGCGGTTATAGTTTGAACTTGAGTCAACAAGTAGCAAATTTAATTTGCAACTTTGAGACTTTTTGGAAGAACAATTTTATGGGCACGACATAAAATAATGTGACTAGGGAATTTCAGTTTTTCCAAGTTTTAGATACTCGTAGTGCTTATTATCTTTTTTGTAACTATAGTCTTGATTTTTTTCTATATGATTTTATGCCAAAACCACAGGAAGATTTAACACGACATAAATTTAATGAAACATTACTTATTAGTGAGACATCCACTGACACATACTAATTTGCAACAATACAAGTGTTATCCGAAATTTAACTATACTTAAATTATTCAAAATATGAGATTTTTCTAAGAATTGAGTTTAGTGTGTTGCTATCCTCATAATTTAATTTCCTTTGTTTCAAGAGTAACAAATCGTTTTGTTCATTCCAATAAGCCTGATTTATTTTCTCTTCCTTGCGATTCATTTAATTTCTGGCGTGATTAAGAGCTTTAAGCTCAGACGACACGACCTCATCGAACTCAAGGTGTGTAAGGTCAAAAGCTATAAACGCCTCAAAGTTGCACGTGCACTTCATTTGCGATAATCCTGACAAAAGTTCAGAAATCGAATTTGTGCAAAATAAATCTGACAAAGTAGGAAATTTATTATTCAATTAGGGCGCAATAAACACAATCAGATAAGATTCATACAATTTCCTTGAATATTTTTCGATGTTAGATAAGCGTGCATGTCGAATGCGTATAATTCCATATTTCGTTGACCGCTTCCAAATATGATATATAGATTCAATTCGTCTCGGAAAATAGAATTTTCGAGATAAGTATTGTAAAGGAATCGCGAGGGAATTTCAGCTTTGTATACAGCGTGATTACAGAAGCGAGATTCCGGGCCACCGATTTGATTTATTCAATTTTTGGAATTGCAGTCTAGCCAGACGCTGATATATGGTCAAGATAAACTTCAGTTCAGTTTTATGTACGAAATAGAAATGTGTGCTTGTATGAGAAAGGGAATATATGAGACAACGAGATGGAGTTATGAAATTATGAGGCCTAGACGTTAAATTAAAACTTTTGGACTTGTTTCACATATACAGACGCTTTCTCCTGATTTATCACTACTGCAACGCGAAACTTTTCAACAGACACAATTTAACAGGGAGGGTGAACGCGGGAAGCTGTCTTGCATAGCCCCTTGAAAACTTCCAATGCGGTTAAATTTCTCATATTTCTCCGACAAAATCATTTAAATCTTGCATATTTTACCAAAAAATTAATAATAATCAATGTCTGTGTGACTTATCACATTTAACGATTTACTAATGCTCACATTATGAATACATTTCTTCAGTTTGTTAGCAGACTGAAGCTTCAATTCATGAACTAGAAGACCAACTTGATGAAGCCATTAAACCTCGGTCTGAATTTTTTTGAGAGTACGCCTGAAAGGTATGTTGAGGCTATATTAAAATCCAATTTACTGCTGATTACACATAATTTCAGCCGGCTTCACATTTAGACATGTTTATAACATTATAAGCGAGAATATAACTTAATATTTCAATGCATAAATTTATTCACGGTAGACATCTGCAAATTGACTCAAACAAATTTACGATGAGGTAGATATAATTCGGAATTACGGTGATCGATTCGAATAAAAAGCAACCATACCCTCGAGATGTTTTATTTTAAGCCTTGACATTTACCACAAATATGTGGAATCGATTCAATTGATAATCTTGGCACATGGCTTTCTCTGAATTTAATCCAAGAAACCAATTATGCAAATTGACAACTAAAATCGACCATAAATGTGATTGCAAAACATAGCAATTAAATTCCACCCGATTGTTTACACATACTTTGGAAAAAATGTGTCAAATTGATTAATGGTACGACTATTTCTTTACTGAGTCATTAAATGAAAATTTGATTTAATGTGATTTACAAAAGCACGACTCAATTGAAATCGATTTAAAGAACAGAGTGAAAGATGTAATTTATGTTTGTTTCAAAACATCCAATAAACAGATTATTGATTAAAATTTTCAGAAATTAAAAAAAAAGAGTTAAAACAAATAATGAGTATTAAATTTTATTTTCCACTACAAAGGAATTGTAAAAATTATAATGGCTACTTTCAACGCTTGATCTAAATTATTATTATTTTCCTGACGTTTTTATTAAAACATTAAGGTTTTTGTTACAGAAACAAGTTCTCTTAAGCTTTAGAACGGGTAGCAAAAAAACACTTCTGATTTTTAAATTCAATTAAACTTTATAATCAATTTTTGATTTATAGTTTAAAAAACACATCCATAATTTAAAAAAACAATTTATTTAACGTTATTTTTGAACTCACAAGTATTAACATAAAAAGACGGTCAGGTTGTTAGTTTACTCACCATACAAGTAAAGCAATCTATCAAGCCCGTAACAGGTTCTTTTAAAATTGGTAATTCTTGCAAAGTTATATTGGGTTGATTCCCATTTCATTTAATTAAATTGTGTGCAAATGAAGACATTTATTTTATTTTATTAACAAACTTCCAGTTTATTTATTTATGTATTTTCGTAGAACCGGTTTTAGTCACCGAAAAAATTTACACAAATTTCAGACATAACGACATCGGGAAAAATACGCGCATTTTTTGTTTATTGATATTACAAGTAGCTATGTAACACCTGTCTAACGTCATTAAAATAATAAAATCTGCGTTAACTGATGTTATAATTTCCAGGTGTTATTACAGAGTAATAAAATATGTTTTAGATTGTTTTAAATCCTTTAATTATTGTTAACTACGTCTGACGCCAAGCAACATTATAGTTAATTTTCCTCATTTGCACAATTAAAACATTAAAAATAGTTTGAGCTTTTATAAAAAGCCCATCCAATTTGTTTCAGTCATTACTGTAAATTTCCATATTCTTTACGTATTGAAAATTTCACGAAATTATAGCCGTTCCAAAGCATATAAAAACTTTGAACACCATCATTACTGAAACTGCACGGTTAGTTTATATCAATTTCGTCAATCTCAAACACTTAATAATAAGATAGCAAACCATCGTTTGGTGTATCATTACCATAACATCTCTATTATAATAGTACCAATGTACAGGGCCGTACTTACCGATAAAAATTTTCGCTCGCCCTTATTGTTAACTTTAAACACATAGACACAGTTGTTATTTTAATCACATACCGCATAAAAAGATTAAGAGTTTGTATTTAAATATTATCAAGAAATAATTATAGCGTAGTTGGAAAGCCGGGAGAAACAAGAAAAAGTTAACTTGAAATATGCCTTGAATACATAATTATTGCGAGATAGAATCACTGCAAATTGATTCAGAATCCAGCGACTGAAAAATAACGTAAAAAATATGCTAAATTATTTATCGACTTTAGTAGCTCTTGAATTTTTCATTATGCTTCTGAATTATTGATAAGTGTACAAAAATTTTTTCCAATCTAATTGATTTTAGAGCATAACGTTTTATCGGGGATGCCGCCGCATTAATATTAAAACTGATCAATATGAAAGACCGATTTCAATCTCAAATTTAATGCGAAACATCAAACAAAAAATTGCATTTGGGTTTCAAATGTTTTTGAAAAAAATTAAGGGAATTTTAATTAAATCAACCCCAAGCTCTCCATGAGGAGCGTACAAGCCATTTAGGAGCCACAGAACAGCAACACTCTCCTCCCTCAAACAAGGTTTGCTCTCAGAAGTCCCAAGTTACATTTTTATTTCTTCATGATTTATATTGGTATTAGGCCACTCTACGCTAACCTTCTGATTTGTTCTATACAATAATAATAGAGTCTGGCTGGTAAATGGGACCCGGGGGGGTGATAGCTCAACTGGGGGACGAAGCCCTCACTCAATTTACCGCTACATTATAGCAGCGTGTTGGTTAAAACCAACCTCGAGGGTGCATGTCATTAGTACTCGTAGGATTTCGATGCTAAATGAACGGGAATCAAGAGGCTCCTGATGCTTGTTGTTTACACTGCGATTATCATTTAGTCCACCCCTGTTCAAATGGAATTAACAACGTTTCACAAAAAGTGCAGCAGATAATTTATCAAAATATTTTATTAGGAAATAATGACGTCTGTATTATGACTGAAAGCATTGATATTCTGCGCTAATTATAATTAACAAATAACAATTAATCATGTTTATGGCCCCATAATTAATTACGCTAAGACAAGATCATTATTTTTACTGCTATTATTATGCTTTATTATTATTATACGCGTATCACATGCGCGTAAAAAATTAATTAAAGATTTTTATGTTTCACACACACTGACTGATGTAAAACAGTCAAGATTGCATTTTCGTGCTAAAATTAATAAATTAGGAAAGTTGGTCCGAGACAAAGCGCTGCGTGGGTCTTTTAACCTAATCCGCAACCAATAAATAAAATTAAAAGCGACACGCGTAACAAATAGGGTATTTACCACCGAAAACAAGCTTA